CTCTAAGGCTTAGCTTTGGGTCTTTTTGAAGAGCTTCGATAGCCAGAAGGACCCTACTTTCATATGAAGGCAAGGTCATAATGTGTTGTGGAGGAATTCAATATTTTGTTGGAGAATGACGCGTTGCGGTGGAAAGTGGCTCACTCGGTGGTGTGGCGCACTCGGTGGTGGATTACGTTATAGGATAGTAATTAAGCTTAAGGCATATAATTATCTATTATTAGACTAGGTAGCTAGAATATAGTATATTATTAAGATAGCTAATAAACTTAGCCTAGTAATAATAATATATTCTAGGCTAAATACTTTTATTAGTTAGGTTCTATACCTATTTAATATCTCTTTTTAGCCCTTTTTAGATAATTATACTATAGGCGTAGGGCGCTATATAGTTATAAAGGTATCGCTATATAACTAATAAAAATAACCTTTATTACTATTCTTTATACTATCTCCTTATAGCTACTAGCTATAAATAGATAGGTTAAATAGTATATTAAACTAGCTATAGTTCGAGCCCTCTTAGTAGCCTATATATACGTTTTTTATATATATATATTAGGTAGCTATATATAGGCTATTTAATATAGACGGCTAGTAGGCATATAAGGCTATTACCGCGGCTAGCTAGCGGGCAGCTTAGTGTTATAGCTATAGGGCCTATAATTAGCTACTTTAATATAGTATGCCCCGTTTCGAACGCTTACGCCGCGCCTATAAAATTAGCTTAGGTTACTTAGCAGCGGCAGACCGACCTTAGCATACAGGAGCTGGTGGCTAAATAGAAATCAGTTAGTGTCTAAATAGCTGCTCTCTTTGCAAACGAAAACGTTAGTGTTTAAATCGGGGTCTTGCCGACGCATGTAGTTCTAACGTGCGCCGTGTAATTGAGATGGCGAAAAGGAGCCTTGCTTCGGATGCAAACCTACTTATTAAGTGAATGACAACGAAATTTGGTGGCTTCTCTGTCTGCCACGAGGCACGAATCTTAGTTTGTCAAGCCTAGCAGAAAGTCACGAGACATCTCCAGATTATCGGGTAGCGTAAAACACTACGACTGTCATGTTCAGCGAACTTCATCTGTTGCCTGCTTAATCCAACTGGGCCGCTCAGGATACTTCCATTTGTAGCGGTTGGGTCGCTGTATGTTGTCGTCTATGAGATCCGCAACACGGTTGATAGACGTTCTGTCCCATTTCTCACGGCCTTTCCCTTCGTCGTAATCTTTCACGAGTGCAGACATCTGCCGTCGACCTTCCTGGACCCGACTCTCCCAATCCGGAAAGCCATGCTGCGCACTTTCTCCCACTTCATCCCAGTCATAATCATCCGGGTCAGGGAACCCGTATGCGCGACTGCAGGAGAAGTAGCATATCCACCGAACCAGCTCCTTCTCCGTAGGCATGTCGTCGGCAATAGGATGATTGTGCAGGAAGCTTTTCATTCCCACCATCCTACACCGAGGGTGGATGCCTTGAAATGCAGGGCAGCGGCTCTGGTCCATCAGAAAAGTGTCCCACTGGAGACCGTTGTACTGAAGTCTCAGGTAGCAGTCATCTGGGAACCAGGTGCCTTCAACGAGGAACACCAAGTCAAAGCTCTCCAAGCCAGGCTGCTGGACGGCTTTGATGGGCCCAGCGACCTGTTCCTGGATTTGAGACGTCCAGCCGTCATATGTCTCGCAACCGATGATTTTGACCATGAGCTTTCTCAAGTTTGGCAGCTTGGAGACGAGTTCCCAGACATTGCTGTATTCGGCATCACCCTCATCAGGCCGCGTCAATGTTGTCCTCAGTGATGTCATAACATCGATGTGCACGGCCGGGGTCCGAGCCGCCCACTTCAGCATGAGATCAGCTTGTACGCTGAAGGTATAGCGACAGTAGGCGTATTGTATAGTTTCAACATACTAAATCTTCGCCTGAGTAACCGAGGGGACGAGTAAAGGGTCACAGGGTAGCCTCACTAGTTTGCGACATGACAAAGGTAGTCCGAGGAGGCCTGTCTGCTCCAGCAGACTCTGACACAGAGAATGGCTGTAGCCTTCTCTGCAATCTAGGTTGTCGATGCACCTGAGATGCCGGTTGTTACTCACGGCGGCAGACTTCGGGCCATATGGGAGGCACATACCAATTCGCCTGGCAATAAACTTGGCCGGCGACCCAATTCCTCCACAGGTGGAGAACGTTTTCTTCGAAGACGTAGTTGTAGATGCATGTTCGCACTTCCGAAGGCAGCCGAAAGAACCCCGCGGCGGCTTGACCGTCGCTGACGCGATCCGCCGAGGTGAGGCGCTCTAACATGGACATTGCGTTGGCGCCCGGTGCTCAAGTCTTCGCCGCAGGTGTATGCTACTCCATCGTCGGGTCAATTGTGCGACATGCCTTTGAAGCGATCACACACTTTGACGTGTCGTCGAGTGAGCGTCTCACTTTTTCACATTGTTGTGATTCTGTGAACAGTCGTATTCTCCGTATCCTTATGCCCCGCTCCCTCGGTTTTGTTTCGACGGACGACGCAAGCGCCACGGATGCGGGGCAACGCGGCACCGATGAGGCTTGCCTCTGCCATGTCGGGAGCTTCTAGGCGCAAAGAATACAGAACGGCAGGAGCAGAGTTGACTTTCGCGCAGGCAAGCAGGTGTTAAGGTAAGGCGTCACGTCCATGGTTGTGATGCATGGTATGTAATATGGTGAACTGTTCTTCGCCTCGAGCGAAGAACTCCATGCTGGACAGAATGGGTCCAGGGCGGGAGCGCCGAGGAGGGATCAACGGTGGGTGGAGGTGTCGGCTGCCAATCAGCTCGGGATCTGCATGCGGGCTGGCCCGTGCAAGACACAGCGCGCTGTTGGTTGCGGGGGAGTGGGGCAAGCGTAGACAACCGCGCTGTTTCTCACCGGACATCAGTCGTGATGCTCGTGCGCTTGGCGAATTGGCGAAGGGCGCTGGATGCCGGTCTTCCGGGACCCCAGAGATGGCCCCGTTCTCAGTGTGGCGCAGCAAAAATGGAGACGACGGGCCGCCGCCCCGGCCCGGCTGCTCCGCTTCCTGGAGCTCTCGTCTGCACCCGTTACCCGTTGCGAGAGCTCCAGCATCGGTGCCGTGTTTGCTAGCCGCAGGCAGAAGCAGGGGGGTAGCCGTGTCGACGCTCGTCGGAGGCCGTGCGACGACGAGGACCGCACATCATCGCAATGATGTGGCAGGTCTTTCCCCGCACCCATGAAGCAGCCGCCAAAACGTATAAAACGCATGACGAGCGTCGACGCCAGGCGCATTGTAATGCTGTCTCTCGCCGGCTTTGTCGTTGCTGCTGCCAAGCTCGCTCGCTCGCGGAGAGGCGTACAGCATTAGCCCTAGGTCTTAGTCACTTATGCTCCCCATGGAATTTCCTCGAGAGCAACACTTTGCCATCCAGGTGCCTCCGTTGTTCGATGCCACGCCCACCTCGCTCAAGGAAGACGCCGAAAGGCTCATAGCTACCACGTTTGCTACATGGGACTCGGTTGTTTCTGAGATCCAACCCGAGCATGCCACCTTTGACAATACCATCGTGCCCATCTTCCAGGACGAGAATGCCAGGTCGGCGAAAAGACGCGTGTGTAAGTGGACTTGCCAAGGCCATGGCGACCTTCTGCTGCGCGACTGCCGGCTGAGCCGGGCTGATCTTGCCACAGTGTGCTTCTACGCCTCGACGCACCCATCAAAAGACATGCGAGATGCATCCAACGCCGTCGCAACCCTCTTTAATGACGCTGAGATCGAGTCGTTCTCCCGTCAAGATATGTTTTTGCGGGTAGATGAAGTAATGCGCCAGCAAGAAAGGCGCATCAGCTCGTCCCTAGATGCAGAATCTCTCTATTACCTACAAAAACTGCATCGGCGATTCCACCAAAATGGCTGTGCTATTGCTGAGCAAGAGAAACGCAGCGATTTCAAGGCAAAGATGAAGCGTCTCGACGACCTAGTTCGACATTGCAATATGGGCTTCCATGAAGAAAGCTCTGGGATTTGGCTTAGGCCGGACGAATTGGATGGTGTTCCCCAATGGCATATTGACAGACTGAAGCCAGGAGAAGGTGAGAATTCGAGCTACCTGTGGCTACCGACCAAAAGTCCCTTCAGCGGTCCAGCTCTCAGCTGTGCAACAAGAGAGGGTACTCGAAAGCGGATGTACTACGCGGTCCAAAATAGGCTGTCAAAGAATGCGCTCCTATTCCGAGAAATTGTCCTCCTACGTGACGAAACGGCACGGACGCTGGGGTACCCCAATCACGCCACGCTGAAAACGGCGGACAAGATGATGCAAACTCCGCAAGCGGTGGAAAAGCTGCTGTCGGATTTACGCAGAGCCGTTACTCCGTTAGCAGTGCAGGACAGTCAGGAGCTTCAAGAGATGAAGCGAGAGGAAGCCGAGGCACGCGGCGCTGAGGTCCATGAGCTTTACTTTTGGGACGTGTCTTACTACTCACGGCAACGCGACGACAAGGACGCATCGCTGAAATCATCAGTTTCGGAGTACTTTGAATTGAATACCACACTCGCGAAGCTTCTGGACATGATTGAGCATCTCTTTGGGGCACGCTTCCGGAAAATTGATGTTAAGGGGCGAGCAGTGGGTGAGAGCGCGCTTGTATGGCACAAAGACGTCGAAATGTATTCTGTTTGGGACGTTGACGGGTCCAAGGAGGAGTTTCTTGGGTATGCTTACCTGGACTTCTTTCCCAGAGATGGGAAGTACACCCATAGAGGATGCTACTCGCTGCAACAGGTAGGTCTGCTTACGGCAGCTCGCAGAGCACTATTGGGTTAACACTGTTTCAGGCATATCAAAAGACAAACGGGAGTCGATTCTATCCCTCTGCGGCGTTGGTTATGAACTATGCCCCACCGTCCGACAGCAGACCGACTCTTCTGGGTCTATGGGGTGCACGAAAACTATTCCACGAGCTGGGCCATGTCCTACATTCTCTCTTCACCCAGACCAAGTTCGCAGCCCTGAATGTGGTCGATCGCGATTTCGTCGAAGCACCAAGCAGGATGCTTGAGCGGTTCTTTTGGGTGGAGCGCCACATTAAGGAAGTCTCCTTCCACTACTCCCACATCAGCTCAAGCATGAAAGAGGCTTGGAAATCGACTATAGAGGACCGACATAGAAGCCGTGATTTATCCGAGAAGCCCGTGCAATTGGGCGATGATATAGTTCGCGATTTGGCTCGATCTACCGAGGCTGACGCTATGGAAAACGAGCTCACTTCACTCTTCTTTGCCACATACGATATGCTCGTACACACGCCCGCTTCGCACACAGAGCTGGAAAATCTCAATCTGACGGAGCTATTCAACAAAACGCGTTCTGATATCTTTAAGGTTAGTGGCGGGGAGGCATTAGGGGAAGGCTGGGAATGGTCGCATGGCCAAACCACCTTTCGTAACATCCTGAACCGCTACGATGCCGGATACTATAGCTACATATTGTAAGCTTCCTGGAGAGCTCAGGACACTTGGACTCTTTGTTTGACTAATCTTGAGCAGAGGCAGTGCCTTTGCCTTAGACATGTTTGACACAGGCTTCAAGAAGGACACGACAAGCCCGGAGGCGGGCCGGAGATATCGCGATATGGTTCTACGAGTCGGTGGGCGCCAACCCGAAATGAAGACTCTGACGGACTATCTTGGCCATGCACCGAGTCCGGGCCCCTACATTGCATGGCTACAGGGCGCGAGAGACCAGAGGACTCAACCCAATGCAAGCGAGCGCAGTCATGCTCCACAGTAGGCCAAATACAAGAGAGAGAGAGTCATACTCATGCCCGCAGCACGTTCTATCACCCAGTTCACCTGCTCTATCATAATGGTGTATGCCAATCATCCTCAGAACCTCGCTCATGTTTTCCTTCGGGTATGACTTAAGAACATATACCATCGCTCAACCGTACCTCAGCGGTATAAGATTGCCCTGCAATGAGCCTTGTCGTCTTGTTGAAACGTGATCTACACCTTCTTTCTTAGTACCGAGCCAATCAATGCATGTCTAGACATTATAGTAACGCCTGCGCCGAGGAGAAGGCAGATTCCGCAGAAAACAATCAGCCCTGAGAACTTCCCATCTTGCGCGTTTGTAATCGCGCCTCCAATTGGGCTCCCGACCAGGACGCCAATTGCGGCGAACCCGTAGAGCGAGCCGTTCCGCGTGCCTAGTTTGCTTGCGTCCGACATGGATGCCACCATAGCGGGTATTATAGACAGCGTGCAGCCCGACGTGAAGCCGTAGATGGCGGCGAAGACTATAAGGGGCGCGTTTGAGTGAGCGGGAAGCCAAACTGCGAGGATGGAGATCCCACTCAGGATTGTCAACAGAATCATGACGTTAAAGACCCCATACTTGTCGCCAAAGTGTGCTGGGATGATTCGGCCAAAGGTTCTGCAAGCGTTTAGTTGACGGTTCGATGTACTGTCGTAACATCTGGCACACGTACGAAGCAGCATTAACAACGGGAACCATGTAATTTGCCAAGCTCGTCGACATGCCTTCAGCTTTGGCTTGAACGATGATGAAGTTAAAAGGCAAGAATGCTCCCAGATAAATCACGAACGCAGCGATGGTGAGGAGCAAGAACGCGGGTTCGGAGAAGGGAGTCACGAAGTCAGCAAGTCTAAACTTCCTCCGTGACGGAGGCAGTCGAGACTTGATGGTACAGTTGCCCACCACGAGGAGGCCGAGGAAAAGAAATGCTGTGGCGCGCATCGCCCAGCCAAAGCCGACTCGGACGACAAGGCGCTCTACCATGATCGGCAGGACTACGCCGCCGATGCTGGAGCCGGCGGTAATTATGCCGAATGCAAGGGCTCGATGCCTCAGGAACCATGTCCCCAGGGCGGTAATGGCTGCAAGGTGTTCTGTCAGTTTTCCCTGCGGGTAGAGAAGGGTACGTAGAGCGTCGCGTACATGGGTAGAAGAGGAACGAGCATCCCAGCCCGCTGCACACGCTCTGCGACAGCAGTATCTGGTAGTATTCCTTGGAGATGGATGTCATCATGAGGCCGAATACATGCAGCAGCGAGCCCATCAGAATCGGGACGCGAGGCCCAAACTCGTCGGTCAGCTTGCCAGCCAGGGGTCCCTATGTAAATGCGTAATCAGCGCTGTACACATGCAACAATCAGAAGAATGCTATGTGCACGTACCCAGAAGAACAGCATAAATGATTCCGTCGAAGAGATCCAGGCCACGGTGCTGGGCGAGTACGATGCCAGCTGGTGATGCTGATAGTAGTCCTGAAAAATACCGATGCCTGGGTCGTACCGTGAGCACCTCGTACTTTCAGGCTGGTGTGCTGAACATACAGTTGATCCATCCAAAGCTAGCGAATACCGTACAGAAGCCGCCAACAACGACTAGCCAAGCGTCAATCCCGCCATCTGGAGGAGGTCCCAAGTCATTAGGCTTGGAGCCAGGGTTGAAATCCTGCGCCTTCTCCTCATCCGTGCGGTGTTGCTGTGGTTGTGGGTCGCCGTCGACGTCTGAGGAAGAGGATCGAGGCTCTGGCGTGGGCTTCGCATCTATTTCGGGTTGACTTTGCATGGTGCCGGAAGCCAAGAGGGATGTTACTCTGGGCAGCGTCTTTCGTCTCCCATCCTGACGCTGCTGATAGTCCAAGCTGGGTTGTTCTTATACCCCTCGAATTTGGCGGCAATGCGACTCGAAGAGCAAGATCGACGCTCGTGGGATGGTGCCATTTACGGTTAGAAACGAAAAGGCGGGCGCGAAAGCGGCTCGGAATTAGTAGCTTCGGCAGCGAGCCGGTCACGTCGTCGACCACCCTTCAATTCACTGCTGTCCCTTGCGTCCCTGGCTTGAGGTTCGAGTGATGGTGCCCAGTCCGGCATAACCCACCCGCAATCTCCGCAATTGTGACATGAGCGTTTTGTACGCCGGATGACATGATGACAGAAACGGCTTGCAGCATGTGGCGAGGCGGGTCACAGAGGGTCTCTGGCTCTCGAGTCTGGACAATGTCTGCAATTTGCATCAGCATCAGCAGTCGAAAGCGGAGCAGCCACCCCTGTCGTACTGCTCGCGTCTTGGTTCCTCATTGGGTTTAGCGCGTTGACGCGAGGTGTTCTTGTCTCCGCCGCGAGCTTTCCGCATGCCAGGGCGATACTCAACTTGCCGACTGCATTACCAACCAACAACACACATCGGTGCAGAGCCCTTTGACCATGGTTGGCATTGCGGGCAAGTCCAAAGCCTGCCTTGACTGCAAAAGGCGCCGTGTCAAGGTATGCTCCATTATACACCTTTCTCTCTTCCCTCGATTCTTGGACATCCGTTGATTCCGTCCTCTCTGACCCGCATCAGTGCGACCTCACAGCGCCCTTGTGCCTGCGATGTGCCAAAGCCGGGATCCAATGTCGAGGCTACGAGAAGCCGATAATTTGGGTCAACCGCACCCCTGCACAGCGCGACATCACCGCCCTCTCTGTCATCACGCATGCCCGTGTACCTCGAGGTGCATGTGCATCAAGATGGCTTGACTTGCTTGATCAAATACGATATCAACTCTCTGGCGCCGCGTATGACACAGCGCAATTCAGGGCCCGCGCCCTGATTCTTCTACAGGGCATCTACTTACCCCAGCCGCACGTCATGGAAGATAGCGTCGACCCGACGCCCTTTTCGTGGCCCAAAGCAGTTTGCGGGATGGCCGCGTCGAGCGAGGCGCTGGACCATGCGCTGCTGGCCTTTTGCGCGATACAGGTGCGCTTGTCAGGCGAGACTGGCATCTCGAATGACGAGACTGTGCAGTTGTACAACACCGCTCTTGGCAAGGTGATCCGTGACGTGGGTCGGAACAATGATGAGACGCTGGCGGCGATTGTTGTCCTGTCGACTTGTGAGGTCCTGACCCAGTCTTTCCTACGTCCTGGGAGCAGGGGCTGACTGAAATATAGTTGTTTGTGTTCTCAACAGACCAAAGCTGGAGTGCACATGCCCAAGGGATATCCGAGCTTCTGCGACACCGCGGCGTACCAGCGTTGCCGTCACCGAGCTGGAGAAGCCTGTGCGTGCGGCTTTGCGTGATATGTGTCCGTATAGAAGCCCTGCACCACCCGCCTTCCTTGCTCTCGCACACTTCTTAACCTCTTCGTGACAGGTAATACAAGCACTTGCACGGAGGTGCTCTCTCAGCCTTGCGCCGAATAGATGGCGAGAGCTCATCGGTCCGACTCAGTCACCTGACTCCTTTCCTCGGCTCCTGGATATTGTCACAGAGGTCCCAGCGATTATGCAAGAAGCGCACATGTTTCTGTCAGACGACCTTGCCACAGAAGATATAAAAGCCCCTCAGTACATGTATACCGATGTGCTGGTCCAAAGCTTTCACAAACTCCACGACTGGCGACAGTGTTATCAGCGAAGGGTGTCGTCTGGGCCATTTTCCTGGTCGGTCCTGTCTAGACTGGAGAATCCCGCAGATGAAGCCTATCCGGACAAACTGTTTCCATTTTCTCTCAAATTTCGCTCAATAACGGACGCCGTTACCTGGGTATTCTGCTCCACCATCATGCTTCAAATTCTCGAAACCATTTTACGACTCGACGCTTCAGGTGCTCTGCTACCCACCATGTTGCTGGCGGCAGACTCCACTCGGTGCGAACATATGGTGACTCCCATACGAGTATACGCAGATGACTTAGCACGAAGGCTATGCCAAAGTCTCGAGTTTTGCTTTGGTATCGAAAACGGTACCTTCGGGCCTCAAGGCACCTGTTCTACGCAGTGGGCACTGCGGAACTACTTTCGGCGTCGCGGGTTGCATCGAGAGCTCGAGTGGTGCGAGAATATCAAGGACATGAAAGGGCCTGCTTCGCGTTGCGGAATCGATCTCATGCGTCTCGGCCTGGACTCATGATCGACCCGCGCGAAGATATAGCGATGGCATGTAAAGGCCGGCCCGACATGGAGCGAAGATCAACAGAATGAAGGGCTCAAGCAGTCCCAGTAAATGGAGATCAGGTGGCTATTATCGAATGCTCTTACCTTGACATGAGCATCTCGCGATATTTATCTAGACTTTTCCCAATAATATTAATAAAGGGCCACTGCGTGTTGCTCTTAAAGAAATGCGCCCAAATCTTCAACACCGCTAAGCTTAGGTTTGCCGGATCACGAAAGTCCACCAACTTATCCGGCATATCTTCGAAATCAACAACCTCATATGCCTCCTCGACGATACAACGTACCCAGTGCATTATCCGATTTTCGCTGTCTGGGGAAAAGTGTCAGCTCTCCCATACCACATGCATGTGACCAGAGGCGAGCATACCACTCATGGGCGTTGCCGCCATGGTGTTGCCAAGTTTGGCAAGCCAGTTGCTCAGTAGTACGCCGCAGTCCAGACTAGCCAACGAGTGTCTCACACTCCAGAAGAAGGCCTGGCTGCGCGCTACCCGGTCCACGCCCAGACGGACAGGAATGCTTAGCATGTGAGTCGCGTACAAGAGCGGAGCGATGACGCCGTCGCCCCGCTCGACGTCTGGCGAAAGACTGATTGCTCGTGCAATGAGCGTAGAGTCGCGCGTCTCGAGCCGCCGAAAAGGGCCCAAATGGAGGTATATTCGCACGTATGCCAACGCGAGCAGAGAGCTGGAAGTGAACGGAATAGGTCCATTCTCGTTATTCGGATCAAGACTAGACTCTGGAGCCTGCTGCCAACCAGATGTCCAGGAGCGGAGGCCACGTCTACTTCTGTCAGACGTCGGGAGAGGCAAGTATGGGAGAGGCGACTCACTCAAGCTTCTCCACCTCTTCGTGCGGAAGCGCTGCGGTGCAGGTCGTAACCGGAAGGCTCAAATCACGCACGATATGGATGCGCTGGAGTAGACCGTGAAGGAGCACGTAATTCCCAAGCGGGGTTGGAATCGGGTCCAGCGGAGCCGAGCAATTTTTGTTCTTCAGCAGCAAGGTCAAAGCCTCCTGAAAGTACAGCTGTTGCTTATGCATTTCATCCTTAGCTGCCCGCCATTGAGTGGCAGTTGAGGCTTTCCACTCCTTGGTAGAGCACGGTAGTCGCAGGTTGACTTCGTTGCTGCGGAGGACAGGATACACATCGTATGCGAGGCTGTGGGTGTGTAGGAACGAAAAGGCGATGAGCTTGGACCTGCGGCACGATTCTTGTTCTACCCAGGTTCGCCAGTCCGTGTCGGGACAGAAACCATCGCTGTTGTGATCGGTAGATGATGCCGGTGTTTCGTCGACATCGTCAAGGCCAATGTCTCGGAGTACGTGGGTGAGTAATTGCTGGAGAGAAAATGCCTCCTGTACCAAGGATGCTTTGGGCTCCCACGTCGCGAACGCCATGAGGGCAATGAGGGCCCTCACAGTTTCGACTGGAGCCCACTGCCGAGCACCATCGAGATGTTCGCATCTCTGTGTGTCGGCGGGCCTGTTTAATGACATGAAAGAGCTTGTTCGATACCCGAATCTGTCTTTCACTTCCCTAGAGAGCCTCTCTAGTAGGATCGACTTCCCGGCAAAGAATAGTCGCTCTGACATCATATGCTCAAAGGAATATTGGGCACCGATGGCAGCGATTCCGAGAGTGAACTCTAGTGAGTGATCGAGGATATGCCATGTCGGACAGTGGATGAATGGCATGTGCGAGTGGAATCCTTCGAAGAAGGACGTGACGTATCTGGTGAGGGCATGCCGCGAAGGGAGCTTGAAACCTGAATCGATGACACAAGACATGCTTTCCAAGATTGTCCCTAGCCTGGTACGATGCTCCTCTGTCACTTTGAAAGGCTGTGACTCTAGGCCATTGGCTCGAGGATCTTCAGTGGGACCTGTCAGTACAGAGTACGATTCTACGGGACCGTAGGGTAGCACTCACTGTTCGCGTCTGAGGCGTAGTTGGATAATTTATTGCCGGTGGGTGCAGTGGGTAACCAAGAGCTGAACGGTGTGCCAGGTCGCGTCCTCGGGCCAGGACGAGGGGAGGCAGTTTCTGAACGCGCATCTCCCAAATCCGGATCTAGGACCTCGTCGCCCCTCTCGGGGCCATTGAAGTACGGACTCCATTCGGCTGGCAGGCCTACTCCGTCAAGAAAGTTGGCAAATTCTCTAAAGTGGGAGTCGAATTGAATGCCTCCAGCTCGTTAGCAATGACAGCGGACCAAGTCTGCACTGTTACCTACCTCCATCAATTAGTTGAGGAGGCAACTGATCGTCGCCGTACGACCTTGCATCGATGAACCCATTGCTCCGGCCTTGCTCTTCGAGTGGTGGCCCGATCCCGTGATGCTGTGGCTGCTGGCCCGCCCATGGTTCTCCGTGCTCTACGTGTACACTCAAGCCGGAGAGCGATGAGGCTGCCGCGAGGTCAGCCTCGGCTACGCCACCGTGCTCTGGGTGCAAGCTCAGGGTTGCAGGCGCACCCGGGACACCGGTCGGGGGCGACGGTTCTGACAGGGAACTGTCGCGGTGTAACGCGACCCGCTCGTGTCTGGTGAGCAAGTCTCGCCTCGCGAAAGCAGCACCACAGTGGCACACAAACGGTTTCTCCTTGGTATCTGTGCAGCGAGAACCACTCAGCGTCTTGTCACGTGGAAACTAACTAAATGGCCAGACTTACGGGTGCGAACGTGGCGTTCCAGGTGCTCGGTGCGCTTGAAGTTGCGCCCACAATGGGGGCATGTGCGTACGTTTCCTCCGCCATATGCGGTGCGCCGACGCTTGCTTGGAGGCATTTGAGGGTGCTCGCCCTGCATGGTGCTTGCTCGTGGGTCGGTTGCTCCATCAGCTGGAGTGTTGGAGAAGGAAGGCATGGAGGAAACTAGGGTGGAGATGGACTTTTGATGAAGCTGGAGCAGTCAGGTCCAGGGCGGTTGGAGTACCCCAGGTATGCCATCAGGTGACATGTGTCGGGGAATGCACAGAATGCAAGTCACGCTGCGATGCGGGGTAATTTCGTCGCATTCTCCGAGACCGGAAAACGACCGGTGACTATAGGTTCGGTGCTGGGTGCAGGCCCGGGCGGGGAGGGGCTGAAAGTTGGGGTAGGACGACGCCCAGGGGGGCAGATGGGGCCAGCGGAACGCCCGACACCAGATCCGTCTCATTTAGACCAACCACACCTCGAAGTGTCGACCAGAAGAAGGATAGACATAGCCAAAACTCTTCACGATGGCTTCATTGAGCAGATTCCCTGGCGTTGCCTTAATCACCGGTGCTGGCGGCACAGGTTAGCAGACTCAAGGTCCCGAGCAAGGTATCGTGCAACTCACACGTGACAGGAATTGGCGCCGCTGTGGCCAGGAGCTTTGCGCAGGCTGGGTGCTCCCGCTTCGCTATTACAGACCTCGACAAGGCTTCTCTCGCCGCCACTGCCAACTCCATCAGGGGCATCAACCCCAGTGCGCAGGTACACACGAGCAATGGCGACGTTGCCGATGAGGGCTTCGTGAAGTCGTTCATCAAGGAATCCGTTGGCACCTTCGGTCGAATTGACTACTCTGTCCAATGCGCTGGCATATTGGGCAAAGGTCTTCGGTCGCATGAGACGTCGGTGTCTGAGTTTGACATCATTACCAACGTCAACTATAGAGGGACATGGCTTGTGACGCGAGACGTCGTGGGTCATATGATTGAACAAGATCCGCTACTCGAACATCCAAAGCAAAGAGGAGCCATCGTCAACATCGCCAGCCAGCTTGGGATCGTCGCCAGGCCGGGAGCCGCTTCGTACTGCGCCTCCAAGGCGGCCATTATCAACATGACTAGATCTGACGCTATTGACTACTCGCGAGATGGTATCCGTGTCAATTGCGTTTGCCCTGGTGTGATTGCGACACCAATGACAACTGGGAGCCAGGAGGTCGAAGACAGATTGCGGCCGGCCATTGACATTGCACCCTTGAAGCGCATGGGAACGCCATCTGAAGTAGCTGATTCTGTTCTGTTTCTTTGCTCAAGTCAAGCATCTTTCATCCAAGGACATGCATTGGTAGTAGACGGAGGTTATACCATTAACTGAGTGACGTCAAAGCATAAGCGTGGCCTAATTCACAATATACCGATTGTGACATAGCACAGTAGACATATCTGACAGACTATGGCAATGATTGACTCGCGGCTTGCCGGGTGTGAATCGTAAACTCTTGATTTATTGCAATTTCACTTTCACTCCGTATAGGTCTATGTTTTACGCTACCATTGCGCCATGACAGGGTTAGGGATCATGCAGTTACACCCGCTCTCTCCACTTCGGCGACAATTGGTTCAGGGTAGGTCATTGTTGCCGTCTGTTCGTTCAGAGTTCTTCACCCCATTTCATCAATCCTTGAGTTGAGCTTCGCTTTCGATGAGTCTCTGAGTCCATGTGCGCCTTCTTAAGCGAGTGAGTAAGGAACCTTCCAGTCAAAGCTCTGTTCAACAGCCTTGGCTACTCTCAAAATCTGGGTCTCCTGCCACAGACCACCGACAACCTGCATCCCAACGGGTAGCATAGTTTGGTCATCATCCACTGCCTCAGACCACCCTATCGGAAGTGATAGAGCTGGGTGTCCCGTGACATTAAACACGGCCGTGTTGACAGTCATGCCCATGCTGGGTTCGAATGACTGCAACACAGCCCCTTTGTCGCCATGTCGCGGCGCCACAAACGGCGTCGTTGGCATGATGATCACATCGTATTCCTTGAAAGTCGTCTCGTAAGCGTCTGCAATTCTCCTTCCAATATTGACGGTCTTGGCGTAGAGTCCCGGAAACTCGTGTGTGAGATACAGCCCATTGATGACAGTATTTTTGGTCGAAGGAAAGAGCTTGTCAAAGTTTTGCGCGGTCCATGGTAGGCGAGCGTGCTCGAACTCCGTCAGATACAGGCCCCGGCGGCCATTGGCGTGGCCCAGAATGCCAGATGTTCCAGATATGCGCTGTTGAATGGTCCATATCGACGGTCCCTCTTTATGTAGCGGAATGCTGACTTCTTTCACAGCACCACCGAGTGTCTCGATCCGCTTGACGGCCTCGAGGAACGATCTTCTGACGCCGGGCTGCATTAAGTCGTTGTCATAGCCCTCTTTCAGAACGGCAACTCTAACGCCGTCGAGTCTCGAGCCGAAGCTCTTCAATGACTTCTTGTAGGTGAGGGATCCAGGTGGAGGTGCGGCGAGGGACCTGTCGTCGACCCCATCATACCCGGCAATGGTGTCAAGACAGGCGGCAATCTCGTCAACGGACCTCGCAATAGGGCCTGCGTGATCATCAATCTGATCACCGCTGGTGATTCCAGTGTACGGAACGAGCCCGTGCGTCGGTTTGAAGCCAACGCATCCGCAGAGTGATGCTGGCACCCGAATACTTCCGCCCTGGTCAGTTCCAATGGCGACATCTACCAGTCCGCCAGCAACGAGAGCGGCGCCGCCCGAGGTGCTCCCCCCAGCAGAGTAGCCAGCTTTATGGGGATTGTCGACAGTTCCTTGGGCACTAGTAAATGAGGACGTCGAATTGCAAAAGTTCTCACATGTAGCCGTGCCGACAATGTCAGCGCCCGCCTCAAGGACTCTCGTCACGACTGTTGCGTCCACTGCTGGCGTCCAGGCAGGAAATGCATCACTGCCAAAGAACTGTGGAACATTGGCTACGGCGATGCAATCTTTGACACAGACTTGCTTTCCTTTCATATTTGACGTAGCAAGTGCATCTCCTCGGATGATGAAGCGATGAGCCCAAGCATGGCCATATGCTTGTTCATCCTCGGTCGGAAGGTGTATATCGTGACGGCGAAATCGCTCAGTATCGGGTACAGGCTGGTAGTCTGGGAGGTTTGACACGCGCTCTGCGCAGTCGTGTACCGCCGCTAGCAGGCGAGTGTAATCGGCGGATTCGTCTGGGCTTACGGTCAATCCCAAGGGTTCGAGGAGCTTTTCCACATCTCCGGTCCGCACGGGGTTGCCCCTACAGTACACATTAGCCATTGCCAGACACTCACCGAGCCCACAACGTACGGTGATATGTCCTTGAAGAAAACAGACATGGTGTCGTCGATTGCCCGGAATAGGACACTGGGAAGAGATAACAACGATGCCTGGGCTTGGTCAATGATTAGTCTCTTGCTCGGGAGCGAGAACTGCAATGCGTCTTTTGAGCATGATATGGCATTGATAACAGGCGTGGCTTTATGCCGTCGATGCCGATTTCCAGCGGCTCATTGGAGTGGTGGAGAGACCCTGAATCATGATGGAGTTGTGGAGCAGCGCATTGGAGTCAACCCCAACAATAGTGCGCCAGTGCAGGTACCGCACAAGCGAATTCGCAGCTCGACATGAAGGTGGGGACTCACCGCGTGTCGTGCATTCTGTTCTCAGTTTCTCAATGGCTATCGTGCAGCTGAACAACTAGCCGGCCCTTGAACGATTTCTCTTCATACATTTCGACAATATCTGGAATCTCGCCGAATGATATTGTTGTCAAATATGACTGGATTCCTGCTTTGCCAACCGTCTCAATCATTCTCTCCGTTGCCTTTCGGCCTGCCACATAGCTTCCCTTAATACTGAGCTCTCGAAAGACAAGCAGCTCCGCATCAAATTGCCACGGATTCGCAGGCAATCCCAGAACTCCCAGCACCCCTCCGACCCTGAGAGTTTGCAGTGCCCATCTATTCGCCTCAATGGAGTCGGTACAGACCACTGCGGCGGCCACTCCTACTCCATTAGTGAATCCGAGGATGGACCTCGTCGCAGCCTTGATATTGGAGGAATCAACGACATAATCTGGTCGAAGATTGGGGTTGGCCATTTCTGTCGCTAGCTGCCGTCCAGCGGGCCGGCTATCCACGGCAATCGTATGGAAGCCCAGAGCTTTGGCAAATTGCAAACCGAGGTGGCCAAGTCCGCCGATGCCGACGATCGCCACGACCTCCCCAGAACCAAGTCCAGCCGTTACTTTCTCCAAAGAACCCCAGACCGTGGCTCCAGCACACATCAATGGCGCTGCTTGTTCGAAAGACAAGGAATCTGGCAACTGAATTGTTGTTTCTGGATCTGCAGCGATATAATCAGCAAACCCCCCGTCGTGAAGGAAGCCAGCTGTCTCGCGGTTGTCGCAAAACCGCGGGTCTAGCTCGCCTGTTGTCCTTTGCCGCAAGTTACATCCCGTGCAATAACCGCAGGCATGCTTAAAGTTCAAGATGCCGACGCGGGCCCCGACTCGAAGATGTCCATCATACGCTGGCCCTAATTTGGCAACGGTGCCGGCGACCTCGTGTGAGGGAATAAGGCCAAGGGGTGCCGGCGTCTTGAACTGCCCTTGCAGGGCTTGAAGATCGGAATGACAGAAACCAGCGGCGTGGACGCGGACAAGAATTCTCCTGTCGTCAATCGACGGCAGTGGCCGTTCACCCAAGGCGTACGGCTGGTGGTACTATTGCCCTTGTCAGTGAAACACGAGTAGCGAGCATGCATCGTCTACCTCAGATATGTAGGCAGCCTTCATAACAGATGGCAAGCTGCATTGTGACGCCATGACGTCCTTGATGGTGGGCGTGCTGGTGCAAGCGCGTGACGAAGGCGGCCAACAAACGACCTAACAGCCCCAGGTTGGCCAGCTTTCTGAGAAAGCGCCTGTTGGTCTCGCAGCCAAGCTATCTCTGAAGTACAATTTGTGAATGTATTCGCAGCACACACGGATTGCGCTGATGGAGTCCCTCGGATGACTCTATCAAGGTGAAGCCCACACGTACTTGAACTCCACAGCGGCCAAGTCAAGCACCACTGCGGGCGGTGGGGTCGTTGGAGTACGCACCCTGGCACATACTGTAATGTATTGACCCCGGGAAAAAGCGGGTAGTTGGAGTTCGTCTCCAAAGTACTAGCGCATGATAAGGCTCTCCTTGGAACCTGCCACGTGCGAGTGGATACATGCACCGCTCTCGGACCTCCTCCATCCGTCACAGGGCATCCGCATACTTTATTGAGGTTCATTCAGAGAGTCGACCCAGTTGAGATCAACCTCGGACGAATAACTCAAGAAACACCACACACACTGCACTACGCTACCAGGCAAGGCCAACAACAGCATGGGCAAGAAGCGCGTACTCGTCAGCTATGGTGTCGATGTCGACGCCGTCGCCGGGTGGCTAGGCTCATACGGCGGGGAGGATTCCTCCAACGACATAAGCAGAGGTTGGTTCAGCGATATGATACACGCACCATTGTTTTATCTGACCAGTGACCAGGCTATTTTGCTGGCACAATTGGCACTCAAAGAGTGCTCAAGTTACTTGCAAAGTACGACATTAAAGCGACCTGGTTCATCCCAGGCCACAGCCTCGAGTCATTCCCTGAGGACATGGCTGCTGTTCGCGACGCCGGGCACGAGATTGGCCTCCATGGCTACTCCCATGAGAATCCAACCGACATGACCATCGACCAGCAGCGTGAGATTCTCGACAAGACATACCACATGCTGACCGAGTTTGCGGGAAAGCCACCTCGGGGCAGCGTTGCACCGTGGTGGGAGACGAGCAGAGAAGGCGCTCAGCTCCTGCTTGACTATGGTATAGAGTACGACCACAGCATGAGCCATACGGACTGTCAGGCCTACTACCTGCGAACGGGGGACTCTTGGACCCCAATCGACTACGAGAAGAGGCCTGAGGAGTGGATGAAACCCCTTGTCAAGGGCCAGGAGACTGGCCTGGTCGAGATTCCGGCTAACTGGTATCTGGATGACCTCCCTCCTATGATGTTTATCAAAAAAGCTCCTAACAGCCACGGCTTTGTCAACGCGCGCGACGTTGAGGATATTTGGCGCGATCACTTTGACTACTTTTACCGCGAGTATGATGAGTTCGTATTCCCTATCACGATACATCCCGACGTTTCAGGCCGGCCGCATGCTATTCTCATGCACGAAAGACTCATTGAGCACATGAAGAAGCATGAAGGGGTTGAGTTTGTTACAATGGCTGAGATATGTGACGATTTCAAACGCCAGAATCCACCGGCTGAGGGAGCGGCGATGCCAGCAGCACCTGGGGCCATGCTGAGAAATTGAGGTCAGGGCAACATGGGATCTATCGTTACCACTACATATCAGTCAATGAGATGTATGTTACGACCGTTAAATGCGTTGGTCGGTCGATTGGGCCAAGCCCTGCGTGCGTACAGACTCCGCTCTGGTACAGATCAGCACACATGTAGCGTCATACTGACATCACGGTGCACGTCCACACTTTGCGAGACTCGGCCGCGGCCATTTGCATGTCCGATTTTTCTGATTGCTGGTATCTCAGACACGTTTGTGCCATGTCAGATTTATCGTGGAGTCGTCAATTACCCCATAGATAGGGGCGTAGGCTGACCCCAACACGTTGCGCTATGCTCCAACCCAAGCCACTGGCTCCACACCACGAAGGCCCGGACTGCCAATTACACCTGTACCCATCGAATCAAGAGTAGCGGGACTTGCCCCGGACCCGACACGATAGTTCTCCCCGCAATCGGCACCTAATGATGCGCATTCCTACCGACAAATTGGGCGTGGCGGGCCAGCAACCGTATCAGACTTGGAGAAGCCTCGCATTCGCTGCCTGCTTCGAGCTCCCGACAATCTATAAAGCATATCGCTTAACGTCACTCCCAGTTCGCCTCCAGGAATCATGTCCGTGGACCGCGCTTCCTCCAGATCATCAAGCACCATGCAAAAGGCAGACAAGGGCGAGAGCATTACGCCGGCACCGCTCAGCAGCAGCGTGAGCGTCGACGATGGCAAACTCGAGAAAGGCGATGATGCCTTCGAGATATTCAAGAAGGGTGATGGCAATGTCGACTTTCGGACTGTTGGTTGGATCCACGCGTCAGTCATCTTTCTGAAAGGTCAGCCATAGCTACCAATACTCTCTTGTGTTCCGTGATGGAGCTAACGTCGAACAGTGATCTTCGCAACTGGTGTCTTGACAATACCGTCAGCCATGTTCGTCCTGGGCGCCCTCCCGGGTGCCATCAATGTTCTTGGATGGCAGTTTCTCAACACGTACTGTGCCATCATCCAGGGGAACTTCCGCAACTCACACGCAGGGTGCCATTCCATCGCCGACATGGCCGAGGTCGTTGGCGGACTCTGGCTCAAGGAGGTTGTCGGAGTCTTTTTCCTCGTCACTTATGCCATTGTTGGTGCATCGGGCATCTTTGGATCATCTGTGGGCCTCAATGCGTTGTCGAGCCATGCCATTTGCACCAACTACTTCATGGTAGTGGCTACCATCGCGGTCTTCATCCTTGCGAGCGCGCGAAAGTTTGAGAAGATAGCCTGGCTTACATGGGCGGGCTTCTTATCCGTCTATATCGCCGTATTTGTTGTTGTGTAAGTTCCTGCTCCGTCATTGATCCGACAGCGCTAATGAGAACAACCAGGGTCGGCGTTACGACTCGGGATCGCCCTGCTGCGGCTCCACAGGATGGTGAATTTGAGCTTGGATACCATGTAATTGGCAACCCGACCTTTGTCACTGGCATCACCTCTGTGGCGACCATTTTCTGTTCGGGCGCTGGGACATCCGCCTTCCTCCCTGCCATCTCGGAGATGCGCAAGCCGCGCGATTACAACAAGGCTGTCTACTTGTGCATGGCTATCGTCACGGCATCCTACCTCACCTTCTCGCTAGTGGTTTACCGTTGGTGCGGCCAGTGGGTTGCGTCTCCATCCCTGGGCAGCGCCGGAGACACAATCAAGAAGGTGGCCTACGGCATAGGCCTCACCGGCCTGCTGGTCAGCGCGTGTCTCTACATCCACGTTGCTGCCAAGTATTTGTTTGTGCGTATTCTGCGAAACTCGGAGCATCTCCAGAAGAACAGCGTGGTCCATTGGACTGTCTGGTTGGGCTGCACGTTCAGCATGTCCGTCATCTCATTTCTCCTCGCATCCGGAATCCCGATCTTCAATTACCTCTTAGCACTCGCCGGGAGCCTAACATTTGCGCCACTTGCCTTGGGACTTCCGGGCTACCTATGGATCTTTGATCACCAGCATTACCGTACAGGGAATTGGTGGCAAATTACTTCGTACTGGCTCAACTGGCTCATGATACTGCTGGCTGTGTTTTTGACAATTGGAGGGACATATGGTGTTGTCCAGAACATCATTGATGCCTATGCCAGCGGGCTTATTGGCGGTGCCTTTTCGTGCGCGGACAATAGCAACTCCTCATAGACGTAGCTGCTTGACGGCGAACCTGTTGACGTGCTATAAGCTCACGGAAGCGTGGTAGCCCATCTTAGTCTGTAAAAAGCATGAGACGTGCTATTCGTGCTATTGGACATCTTCTGTTTCTATTTGGACATCACGAGCTAAGACACCTGAAACCGGCGACGGCGCTCCGAGCTTTTCGAGCAACTGAAGCCGCCCGGCTGCATAATGAAAGGAATCGAGGGCAATTGAAGGTATCGCGCAATTGAATGTATCTGGGCTCGTAGACTGCAGCGGGTGGCTAATTAAGGCTATCGTTAGAAACGCGGCTATTGCAGTAATGAAGCCATCGCGGGCTGCTGAGCTATTGAGCCGGCTGGGCTGCCGGGCTGCCGGGCTGCTATACAGCCAATAGAAGGCATGGCAGCCCGCAGGCTGCTGCAGCAATTGAATGCATCGCGGTCTGCAGGCTACTGCAGCAACTGAACGCATCGCGCAATTTAAATGCATCGCGACCGGTCGGCTGCTACAGCAATTAAAGTCGTCGCGACCGGCCGGCTGCTGTAGCATGTGAACCCATCGCGGCAGGCCAGTTGGGCCTTATCACAGCATGCGGTATTTGCCTTTTTCGGCAGACTTGGCGGGCCGTGGCACTTGGTCTGATGTCAGAAAAGAAAATTGGTGGTGCAGAAATAGCACGTCTCAAAATCATGTCAGACGGTGCCTCCTGTTCTGCTGGCCCTTAAGATAACCCCTCTCATCGGCATTATGAACCTCTTGCTGCCAATCATGCCTTGTGCCTTGTACAATATTGGTGTGCTATCGTCGCTCGATTACTGGGTGGCATCGCTATTCCGCGTTGGGTTCAATTAGCCGTTGGCTCAGTAGTAGGCGCCCTTCCCCGCACATCTGCACTCTGCAGCGTCCCAAGTCCGGCTGCACACCACCGGGAGCCAATCCTTCAAGCTAGACCACTCTGGGTAAAAATGTGCGGCCCGGTCACCGACGGCTGTTGGTCCGCCCTTCCACCGTTGTGCGTGGTGAATGACCTGTGATAAGACTTAAAGGACATGCCAGCGTCCAGTGGCTGCCGGCCATGCATGCCGCGGGGTGACGAGCCAGCGGCCAGGGGCAAGATACGTATTATGCTGGGATGGCCATAAGTATGAGTAGACGTAGTCGCTGCACCATTTGCAAATGATACATCGTCCCCTTGATCCATAACCTCACCAAAATGGCGATTTTATCACACAAGTCAGACTCGACACAGAGCGAGCTTGAACATAACGAATGTCCTCGCGGCCATGGGACGGACGTTGATAACCTCCAATCACTAGGCTACAAGGAGGAGCTGCGTCGTAACCGGTCCATGTTTACGTTATTGTTCCAGTCTCTTGCTGTAGCGGCTGTATGTCCCCATATGACCTCGCCCTGTTGGCTCGGTACTGACGGTTCAAGATCCCGTATGGGTTTGGCTCGACGCTTATAAGCGCAATCTACGGCGGAGGTAAGCTCGTTTTCACACCGTCTAGTCACACGGCGTGATCAGCGCCTCACTCATTATTATATCCAGGACAACTAGCCATGTTCCTAGGCTGGGTTGTGGTTTGCATTCTCGATGAATGTATTGCAATCTCCCTTGGGGAGCTCGCAGCAAAGTATCCTACATCTGCTGGTCCATACTATTGGTCGCATCAGATTGCCGATCCGCGATACAAGACTATCTTGTCATTCATAACGGGTTGGACCTGGCTAATCGGAAACTGGACCATTACGCTGTCTGTCAACTTTGGGTTCGCGTCGCTACTTGCGGCTACCGTCAACATTTACGAGCCCAACTATGAGTGGCAGCCATGGAAGCTAGTACTTCTATGCTATGGCCTGTGTGTGGTGACCTGGATTATCGTTGCCTTCGGGAACAGGCTTCTGCCTTCCGTCGACACCGTTTGCGCAGCATTTACTGCTATTACTATTCTGGTGGCCTGCATTTGGCTGTCAGTTGAGGCAAAGCAGGGTCGGCACTCTGCAGCATACACATTGGTACATCTTCTCACTACGTCCAAGCTGTATATACTCACCGTGATATGCAGGGCCACGAAGATATTACCTTATCTGGCTGGGGCGGTTTCTCGTTCTTCATCGGCATTCTGCCTCCAGCTTATACGTAGGCACCACGTGCAGCCCTCGAGCACTCCCAGCGGTCTTGGCGCTAATACGGAACCAGATTCTCTGCTCTCGGTATGATTACATCAATGGCTGAGGAATGTGGCGATGTGACTATCAAGCTTCCCCGTGCTCTTTCACTCGCGGTGCCAGTCGGCTTCGTGGCGGGCCTGTTCTTCGTATGTTCAAACAGCTCCTCCAGATAGATCCCTCTATCTTCTGACAAATTACTAGATTATTCCTCTATGTGCGACCCTCCCTGACTTGGCCGACGTACTGAACGCGCCCCTGGGCCAAGCTATTCCTTATGTCTTTCTTCGCGTCCTGGGAAGCCCCGGTAGTGCGATCGCGCTCACGACGCTGATTCTTGTTATCACGGTGTTCTGCTCCATCTCTATTACCGTCGCCGCATCCAGAACAACTTGGGCCTTTGCTCGTGACAATGCCATTCCTGGTGCTAGGTTGTGGTCCAAAGTCAATGAGAAGCATGACACGCCCATCTGGGCTTTGACGCTCACGACATTGGTTCAAATGCTTCTCAGCCTTATCTACTTGGGCTCGAGCTCCGCATTTAACGCATTTGTATCCGTCGGTGTTGTGGCACTGGCTGTGTCATATGGCATTCCCATTGCGTTGTCGATGTCAACCGGTCGAGCCGCGGTCAATACGGCGCCATGGACTTTTGGCAAAAAAGTAGGCTGGATCATAAATTCTGTCGCAGTCTGTTGGATCGCGTTTGAACTCGTTCTTTTCTCAATGCCGACAGCGATTCCAGTCACTCCATCGACGATGAACTATTGCATCGTGGTCTTCATCGGGTTCATGGCCATCAGCGCTGTATGGTACGGCATTCACGCCCGTCATGGTAAGCTTTTCCTGCGCCCATCATGCACATAGAGATGCTAAGTGCGGCCTTTACAGTGTACAAAGGGCCCCCTGATTCTGATGGGCTTACGGCTCAGACGTAGTGGTTGACGTCAATGCATGTAGCTGAGAGTCTCCTTGTCACATGGGTCAGGGAAGAGCGACGCATGGGCACGACAGTTCTAGATCAATAAGGTTCTTCGTCGAGTCCTGTCCGAACGAGGACATTTGGATAGAATTGTAAATCCATGTCAGGTGCCGAATTCGCTGAGTGGACCATTCCGACGTGTCGCGACACAGGGATCTGCTGCACCCATGCAGGCGCTCGGCGCCAATCTACTGTACCTCTGATAAGCCGCCGCTGGACGAGTCGGGCAACCAACCTGTTGTGACCCGATAGCTCCAACTGCCAGTCAGGTGCTGCTTCCCCGCACGCCGCAGTGGGTAGTGGCTGGGAATCGTCGACGCAATCCTGGCCTGGGACTGAGAGACCTGATAAACCTGCTTCCTGCAACTACATGTACTGGGAAATCGCTGGAAAATGCGCAGCCGCTGAGCGGTTCTGCCGTAATGCTTTCCAGTTCCACACAAAGTCTTAGCCCCAGCACCCGCGAGCCGGGGCAGACGCAGAAAGTCCCGACGAAGCAGCGCTCCCGTCGCGGCTGTCGAACCTGCAAGCAGAAACATGTGTGCCAAATGCCAGCCCGAGGGGAAGGGTCAATGCTGACAGGACTCCAGGTCAAATGTGATGAGACGAGGCCAACATGCCGCCAGTGCGCCAAAAGGGGTCTGACCTGCGGTGGCTATGCGCGCGGTTTCACCTGGTCATATAAGCATCAACCGACATCGGGCAGCCAGGCACTATCTGGGGCCGCTGCTGAGAACACGCCGCCGTCGCATAGCGCGCGAAGACCATCCGACACTGCGTCGAGCTCGAAATCGGTTGAAGAAACAGAGGAGCCTGTGGCGGCATTCATTGGGACCAACTTCTCATCTGCAGTGGTGCCGTTCGAGTCACTACTTGATGTTGGTGACCAGAGCCTGGCCGCCGACACCTTCCAACCAACGACCCTGGAGCCATGGCATACCACGAATGCATTCCCAGCCCAAGGAGCCATGGAGGACTTTACTTGTTCGCCAGAGTGGAGGCGCAGTACTTGGTCTCGTGGCACATCCGACTTTGATGCGCTGTCCCCCCCTGGCAATCGCGGCGACGCCATGCCGCCTCTGCTGGCGCACGTTCGAGGTGGCCCGCAAGCCGTAGAGGCGCTCATGAGCAATTGGTTCGACCAAGTATGTCCAGCCTGGTCGGCATTCGACTCGCCCCTGAACCCGAATCGGAAGATTGCCCTGGAGCTGATGCACAGTTCGGCTTCCGTCTTCAACGCTCTACGAAGCATGTCGGCCAGTTTCCTCTCTGCGAGGCTGCCACAACTGGAAAGGCCCGCCCTTCAGATGCTCAGAACAGCGGCGCTATCCATAACGGAGGAAGCACATATTTTGCGGACGAAGCCTACTCTAGACGCTGTACCGACCGGCCTTCTCTTCTCTCTCTTCTGTCTGGGCACCTCTGTATGCTGGTTGGACGCCGGGCGTCTGGGCTTGCCGTTTCTAAAAGAGGCCAAGGACATCCTTTCCCGCCTGTCTGGCAGGGCCGTCCTGGCAGCAGACGACCAACTCGAGACGTTGGCATTTTTTAAGAAGAGCCTTGTGTACTGGGAAATGTTGCTGTCATTTGTGGACGACTATCAGCCCGAACGCGCGGAGCAGGACTTCCAGTTTTCGCCTTCTCGTGATATGCAAGGCACCAAAACTGATCATTTTCCCCATCCGTGGACCGGCATTTCAACACTAGCGGCACGTCTCTTTACTCGGTCCATCCGCCTGTGCCGATCGTACCGACGTCGCATATCGCGGCCAAGGGGGACTGAAATAGCGTTCGAAGCTGCCATGCAGGAGGTACAAGAGGCTCAGAAGCTGGAGCAGGAGCTACTCGAGCTGGACTTTTCGTCCGCTACACCTACGAACAACACGGGTGACGAGAAGACGCCCTGGATGCACCTTGCATATGTTGCGGAGGCGTATCAGTTGGCATCTCTACTGCAGATTTACTTGACGTTCCCAGATCTGGTGGCCCTCCGCCTGCAGCTCGACCCAGATATCGAGACCAGTACCGATATCCCCTGCGACAGGTGGACAATCCCCGTCGCTCTGCGCCTCACAAAGGTCTTGGAACAGATTCCAGCAGAGTCCGGTAGCCGTGTGATTCAACCGCTGTTGTACATTTGTGCGAGCACGGGGCTCTGCTGCAATATGTCTCCATCTTCGTCAACGCCGGCATACCAAACAAATGCCGACATGGGCTGCAATACTCTTCCCGTGGTGTTGGGCGGTCAGAGTATCCTGAGTTACATCGATCAGATGCAGGTGGCAGGCGGGAGGGGTGCTTTGACCGAAGTGGCGGTAGAGATTGGGTCTGCCCGCAACTTCATCTTGCGTCGACTCGATACCCTCGAATGTACCCTACAGCCACGACCTATTGCCGTTGCGAAGAAACTTGTCAAAGCGATCTGGGCTGTGTATGATGACGAGAAGCGGGGATGTATGTCGGGACATTGGCTGGATATAATGGAAGCACAAAATCTGCGATCTCTGTTTGGATAGCACAAGAGTCACCTGATGGGACGGCTCAAAGCGTATGCTGTGATTACGTTGTACTGTTTACAATATGGGAATGCCGGAGCCTCATCTGAAGCGCGAGATATGGGTTCGTGTATGTATTTGTCTGCAACAATAGAAAGAGAGCTGCAGCTATCTCATATTCTTCTCAGAAGTCATTCTTCTTGCGCTGGCCAACATAGAATGCCAAACCATATTCGGAAGTCTCAAACGTGATGGTAGCTCTCTTGGGGAAGAAGACGACGTCACCCTGGGTAGCCTTTGTGGTCTGCCCAGTCTCGTCGGTAATGGTAAAGTCGCCCTCGAGGAAGATCTTCATCTCGTCGTACTTGTACGTATACGTGAGAGGTTCTCCTGCCTTCAAGCGAAAGAGGCCCGAGGAAATAGGTTTGTCGGCAGACGTCTGCTCGCTGGAAAAGAGGTCGCCTAGGTAGGCATTGTCGCCGGCAAGCAGAGGGATGTCGAACTTTGTCTGCGCCTGCTTGTGGAATTGAAACGCCACTGCTGAGTTGGAGCTCATTGTTGTCGGTCTTGACTATAGAGATGCAAAGCAATGCCAGCGTAAATCTGGAGTAGTAGGGACGGCTCGATGGCACTACAGGTGCGACGTTTGTAGCTGCTAGGAGTTGGGGACATGCAGGAACATGAATCTGGTGCTGCAAAACAACATTGTCGCTCGACGACAAGACAAGGCGCCATAGTGCGAGGAATTATGTATCCAAGTCGCTCGGGTGGACAATATTTGGAGGGACGAGGTCGTTTGGACATTTGCTTTTTCCGTTTCGCCAAACTGAGCGACGCGAGCCGGTTGCAACACGACACTTTCCTATCTTGGCAATCCCTCCCGCTGACAGCGGAGTCACCACATCCCGCATGATTGACGCGTGCAAAACGGTTGGCCATCGGGTGCGTCAGCGTGACAGGCTGGCCGTGCGTATCGCTTGGCATTTGGGCTGTATTTGTGTAGCCGTGCAAAATGTTAGCCTACAGGGAATCATTGAGCGCATTCTGTAAATCATCGTCAAGTACCCATCCAGGGGTATTGCAAGGGCAAACTCAGATGCAGCAGATGCGGCAGACGCAGCCTTCGCTCATCACGACGAGTTCGCAATGTTTCCAGCACTCCAGTCCCTTCACTTCCACGAGTTCAAGCGCGCGGAAGCATGGATTGCGGTTGCGCTGCTCGCCGTGGTCATACGCGCGCTGCTGCGTATACGGCAGATCAAACCGGCGGACATAGCGGAAACTGGCAACAACAAGGACGCCAGAACTAGCAGCACGGCCAGCTCTCACTCGTTCCAAATGCCTGTTCCTCCCCCGTACCCAGACTGGTCTCTTGAGACGACAAAGCCTCTACCATACAGGGCGTTCCGCTATGGGCCAAAATACAATATCACGATGGGACTTCGGTCACTTGCGCCCATCGAATGGATCGAGCTCGACAACCACTATCCGAAGTTCCACGCCGAAAAGGCGCAGCGACTGCTTGAACGGGGCGACAAGTGCGTCAAGACTGCTCCGGACGCATATCCCGCGGCCATGGAGCTGCTGCAAGAGCTCACGGATTACTTGCCGGCTCGCTACCCCAGCTTGTACAGGCGCACCGCGGTGGGGATCGACAACCTCTGGTCTGGCGAGTCGCTCAACATCACAGAGGTCCCGCTGCACGAGGACCCAATGGCCATGTGTGCGCGGCTCGTGCAAGACGATCTCGCCCTCATGCTTGAGCAGCCAGACGGGCAGTATCGCCTCTTGGCCGGGGCTATCCTCCTGGCCGGGTTCTGGAGGCTCTCCGACAAGTTTGGCATGACACTGCCCAAAATACATACGTCGGGCAACGTCCCCCACTTCAAGGAGAAGCTACAAAGCGGCATGGTAAAGTTCTTCCAGCGTCTGCGAAGCGATACATTTTATGCGCGCAACAACTACTTTATCCAGGTAGACGACGAGCTTGCCTGGAGCCCCAGCATCGGCGGTGAGGACGAGCCCGTCGTCAGCTGGGGCACGGCGGAGAAGAACAAGGCCATTGAGCACCATTTCTTCCGGTCGGAGAGGCAGACGCTTCGCCGGCTGCCCAAGACAGGCGCGGTATGCTTCACTATTCGCACATACTTCCTGCCCATTACAGAAGTTGCGGAGGAGGACGGCGTTCCGGGCAGGCTGGCCAGTGCGGTGCGGAGCTGGGACGAGTGGGTGGGCGAGTACAAGGGCAGGGAGAAGTACGGCGACATTTTGCTTGAGTATTTGGATCGCAAGCACGAGGAGCAGCTGCGGAGGGGGCTGAATGCGGGAAGGATGGAGAACAGCAAGGGCTATCCGTGGTGAAGGTAGCCGTTTCTTTAGAATGAAGTTGCGTCACCAGTGCCCTCAGTCTCACCTCTGTGTCTTGGTGTTGTGTTGTCGGCCGTCACCTGCGCGACGCTTTGCAGTGGAGCCACTGTGGTGGAGCTTCTGGGCCGTACCAGGTGCATGCCTGCCGGGATGCTGCATGGCTGGGCAAGCTGGGACAGCCGGGGCCATGGCCAAGGGAGCCGATCTCCAGCGAGCTGGCCGAGGCCCACCGCCGGGCCACCCGGTGAGTGCATGGGGTGCGGCCGCGGGGTCACGTAGATAACCGATAACACTGGCGGGGGAGATAACAACTTGGCGGGGGAGATAACAATGATCACTCACTCCGTCGCAGCCACAAGCCACCCGGCCAAGCCACATTCCGGCAAAAATCCCCCAAAGAGGCAGCCATTGTCGACTGTCGGCCGCTCGCCCAGAACGGCCGCGGACAGATGCGCGTGCTGATGTCCAGACCATTCACTGCATGTTTCAACATGTTTCAATTCCCGTTAAATTCAAGCCCCCGATTTGAAGCCTCTTGAAACTCCCCTGGTACACTACAGTTCTGTCCGCGCCGACGCTTGCTTACGCTCTCTCGCACCAGACTCTGCCGCTGCGCCGCATTGACACCCATCACCACGTCGCGTCTCGAAGCATGACGTTCAACTCTACGCACCCGCTAGATCCCCTCGGGGCAGCAGAGATCCAGAGCGCCGTGAGGATCGTGAGGGCGGCCCATCAGAATGTCTTCTTCAACATCGTTTCGCTACACGAGCCGCGCAAGGGCGCCATGCTCCAGTGGCTGGCGAACCCGGCAAATGCGAAGCCCCGCCGCATCGCCGACGTCTGTGTCATTGCTCCGGGCGGAAAGGTGGGAGAGGGGCTGGTCGATATTGCGGCCAAGAAGATTGTCGAGTGGAGGTGGATTACCGGAAAGCAGCCGATTGTGAGCACCGACCGCAAGAAAGCATTGCTCGTCACTGACTCGGGACAGATTACCCTAGAGGAGCTTCAGTTAGTCGAGTATGTCGTGCGGCCATCCTTCCCTGCATTTTTACTTTCTTGGCATGCAACTGTTAAGAAAGTAGCCCAATACACACCTTATCCCTTAACAAGTACACCGTAATCCGCCCATCCCGCGCTCTGCGCAGCCGGCGGCGGCGGCGGCGATGGCATCGGCCTCGTCCAGCCCGCCTCATAATGATGATCCTTTCGATCTGGGTCCCAGGACCCCCTCCGGCCTAGCCAGAGGAGCGCGTGTCGCCCTTCTGCGCCACAGCCCCGCCACCCGTGAGGGCGAGATCGGCGTCTCGCGCTCTGCGCTACGGACGGCATACACGCCGTCATCGCCGCTTCACGCGGTCTCCTACGCTGCAGCCACGGAAGGATCTCAGCGCGCTGTCCATTTCGACTCTAGCGAACCCGACCCGCAATCCGGTGACGGTCCCGTCTCAATCACCAATGCCGCCGACAAGCTCGTGGTCGCCCAGAACGAGGTCTATAGCGCCAAACTAGCTGTGTTCAAAGCCTTCTGCTCCTCATTCGACGACACAGCGAAACAGTTCACTTCTGGACCCGCACTTCAATTCGCCCAGAAGTTTTCCAGCAGCTTCCTGCAGTACTGGACCGACGTACTCGCCGGCACGCACACCAACCTCCCTCCGACGAAGCCCTCCTACGCGACTGTCGTCGGCGCCGGACGCCCAGCCCCAGCTGCAGCGGGGACCACCTCAAACCCCGTCACCGCAGCTCCGCAGAATCAATGGCAACAACAACCAGCCCCGCGTCGCCAGGGGCAACGCAATCCGCTGCCTCCACCGATAGACGACCTCCGGGTCTTCGCCCGCCTCCGCCCCGGCCAAACCGCCGACATGTCCGGAAGTTTCGCCGTCCGGACCCACATCGCCGACAAACTCGGCATCGACCGGAGCCGCATCCCGCAAGCCCATCCTTGTAAAACCGGATGGGCCATCCGCGCTGCTGACTTGGCAACCAGGGATCTTCTGACTGAGCGACAAACTGAATGGGCTTCAGACATCTCCGCAGAGATCGTTGAAACGCGACAGGAGTGGTACAAGTACGCAGTGCAAGGCTGCCCCCGCCGCCTCAACAACATTTTTGGCGAAGCCATCGATAACGAGAAGGCGATCCGAGATGAAGTCGCCACGCAAACGGGCCAAACTCCAGTGATGGTGATAACCGCGAAAGAGGACTCGGACCAGAGCCCGACCCGGACCCTGATCATATGCTTTGCCAAGGAAGTCAAGCACTACTGGCGCCTTTTTGACACAACAAGCTACGCAAGACGCATCACCAAGACCAGACCCCCGAAGCAATGCGATAACTGCTGGGACTACCACTCTCGCTATAGCTGCGGACGCCAGCCACGCTGCAAGAACTGTGGTAGGATTGGACACGCTTTGGATACCTGCACAGCCACACAGCAATGCGCCAACTGCCGCGGACCGCACGCGGTCGACTTTTCCCTGTGCCCGGCCCGTCCCAAGAAGATAAACGGAGTAGTGCGCAGCCTCAACAGGCCCGAGAAGGATCGCGTCTGTCGCATGGGCCTACGCCTCTTCCAACAGCACACAGCAAAACCGGCATCATCCCCTCCGCGGGAAGTATCCGCGAGCCCCGAATCCCAATCAGCGACAGCGAGCGACACCACCTCCACGTCCAGCCGGAGTACACCCACATCAAGTGACGCAATCACACCGGAGCCCGAGAGGGAAAATAGTGCACCGCGCCCTAGCGAGACAACCTCCGCCTCTACGGCAGCTCTAGCTACCCCGAACAGTCAAGCATCGCCAACTCCAAGCATTGAAAGCGCTTCCAGCGTTAGGCACAGCACCGAAGCATCGGCCAGTCCCACCAAGCCCTCTCCAGCTATCCCAACGACCTCCACAGACTCGGCCACCAGTCGAGCTTCGTCGGCACACAGCGAAAGAAGTAATTCCCCGCCCGTGAGGCAAAGCATCGAGATGTCTGAACAACCGAACGAGTATGTTGGGAATGGTCTAGCACCACCCGCAAGCCGCTCGCCGTCGGCGAGATCCTCGCTGAGCCCAGTTTCCTCGGTCTCCACGCCCACGCCGTCGCTCTCCTCCACGTGCCTCCTCGGAACTCCGGCACCTGAGGTCCGCACCTCCAGCCCTCAGCCAGCCACTTCGCCAAAGAAGCGCCGCCTTGCCTCCCCAGACCCGTCTCTATGAACAGACGACCTAGACGACAACATCGCGACAAGCGACAGTTCCGGGTCTTCCAAGCCAATGTTGGCAAAAATGGCCCCTCGCACGACTGCGCGCTCGCCCTCGCCGGCGCGGAACGATACGAGGTCATACTACTACAGGAGCCCTGGACGCAAGTCCGCGACTCCCGCTGCCTTACCAAGACACACCCTGCCTACGACACCTACTCACCGGTCAGTACCTGGGAAGACAACGACACCCGACCGCGCGTCATGACATACATTCGCCGTGGCGCAAGACTCTTAGCCGACCAGCAACGTCCCGCTCACTCTCGAGACATCCTCTGGCTCGCGGTCAACGGCGTAACCGTGGTGAACATCTATCGGGAGCCGCAAGTTGACACCGCCCTTGAAATTCTGTTCGCATGGTCGATACCCAGCCAATGTATCATCGCAGGCGACTTCAACGCGCGGCATCATACGTGGCAGCTCGGCCGCTCTCACGGTCATGGCAACAGCATTGCGTCCTGGGCCTCCGAGAACGATCTCTCGCTCCTCAACCCGATTGACACCCCAACCAACGCCCATGGCAATACAATCGACCTCGCCTTCTCAAACATTGCTCTCGCCCAGGCGACTGTAGAAGACCACCTGGCGACAAGCTCCGACCACTTCACCCTGAGCATCTCTCTTCCCGCTCTGACACCAGCAAAGCTACCCAAGGGCAAGATCCTGCTAGCCACTAACGACGAGTTGAAGCGCTACACAGAAAACATAGAGGCCGGGATCGCGACCATCCCGGCTGCCGCATCGACCCCGGGCGACCTCGACCTGCTCGCGAATGCGAT